CCGGCCCAAAAGGCGGAGTCGCCTGGAGAAGGGGCCAGAGCTGTGAGCGCGGTGCTGACTGTGCCGTGCAGAAGCCAGCGGGAACCTAGACCCCGAGGAGCCCCTCATCCCCGCCCGGCCCGGCCTGGCCCTGCGCCATGGAGTTGCTCTGGGCCCCTTTCTTGGGTCTGTGCTGCAGTCTGGCCGCTGCTGACCGCCACACCGTCTTCTGGAACAGTTCAAATCCCAAGTAAGCCCTGTCTCCCGCTGGCAGGCTGAGCGCCTGGCTGGCACTGCCCCTCCCGAGGTTAACTGTCCCGGCCTGTCTCTGACCTGAGCCTAGGGGAAGTGGCCAGAGGTGGGAGGGATTCTGTAGGTTTTTCGCTCGGCACTTACTTCACCCTCGGAAGGAGCACTGCCCTGCACCCCGGGCAGGAGCCAGCCCGCATCTACTTGCACAGGCGCTATTTCTGCCCTTCCCTTCCTGCCCTCTGGCACCCCTGACACTCACAAGTGAGGGACCCACGCTCTGCGTACCTGACTTGAGTGTAGGCCATTTGCCATAGACCCCAGGGCTCTTTCTGTAGGCTGCCCACCCTGAAACCCCTCTTGGTGTGCCACTTGGGCATCTGCCCATACTGACAGGTACTTGATGTGACACCAGGAGTGAGCAGATTGTTCCTTAACCCTGCAAAGACCCTCAGGAGAGATCTGGGCCTTGGGGGATTTAGCATTCATTCTGTGTTTTAAGATGATTTTGAAGAGCCCCCCTCCAAGAGGTCTTTTGGGATGGTGTGAGAAAGATGCTGTGCATAAGCAAGTTGAGGGAGTCCTCTGTTCAGGAGGCTAAGATGTTCAAACCGAAGAAATGGCGAGAAGTCTTGGAAGCTTGAGAGGGAATGGAAGGGGTTAATAGGCTACAAAGGGCTCTGGATAGGAAGGAGTTAATTTTTCCTGGGCAGGTTTAGGGTTGTGAGGCAAATGGCACTGGGAGGAAGAACCTTTGTTCTTACCCTTGAGTTTTCTGAAGTTATGGGAACAATATTTGTGGGAAAGCAGGAGAGGGGGGTAAGGTGGTACAAGGAGTAGAAGCAGGCCTTGCAGCTGGAGAGGGGGAGAGGGGTGTCATCAGAACACCCCTAACCCTAATGTGCCTGCCTCATACTACTCTTGACATGTGTATACATATATGACATAGATGGCATTGCCTGTGAGGGGTTGATTGTCCAGCTCATGCTGAGGGGACGAAGAAAAACCAGGTGCCAACTCCAGAAGCCAATGCACTCCTGACCATGGGGTGCCAGGACAGCCTAGCCAGTCCTCCTGCCCCCCCATTCCTTGCAGCCTGCTCTTTGCCTCCTTGACCCAGTCCTGTTGTTCTGCTAGTGGGAGAGAGCAAAGTCCCTGTTTATGCCCATGCCAGGTGTTGGCTAAAGGAGGAGGAGGGGACAGGAAGCCATTAGTAGGGAGGGGGGAACTCTGGCCTTTTCCGTTCCCAAGCTCCCAGGTTTCCTCCCTTTCAGGAAGGAGCCTTTTCCTTGCCCCCCCTCTCTGCCTTCCCTGACGCCAGTTCGGCCCCTTTTCCCAGATGGTAAGCAGTAGTCAAATACAGGCCACGGAGATGGAGGAGATGGTATCCCTAGAAGTGGGTAACTGTTACCCTCACAACACAGCTTCTGCCCTGTCCCTTCACCCACCCACACCCCTCTACCTAGGACTAAAAGAAAGCTATCCTAGAGAGGAGTCTGTAGGCAATCTAGCTGAGTCCAGCTTGGGGCAGAGATGAGGTGGCAATAATCTGGGCGGTGTGAGGCTACCTTGGGTGACTCAGGGCAGTGGGCATCTGCTCTGATCTCCAGGCCCCAGGCAGGGGCAGCCTGAGGAGAAGAATGTTACCACTGAACACTTCGTCTTCCTGGCTCTGGAGGGTCAGGTACCTTGCTCCTTCAGATCAGCCAGCACCCTTTGCCTAGTGGCCAGTCTGGAGCAAATCTGTGCTGGGCTGGGGTCCTGTGGACTGCCCCTATTTGACAAGGTGCATGTTCACAGGTTCTCATGAGTGCTGGGGCGGGTAGCAGAGGTGGATGAGGAATGAGTCAGAGCCTGTCACGGGAATGGGGGAAAGACGCCAGGCCTAGAGCTGAAATACCTGTTCTGAAATGGCTTCTATGTTTATCTCTCCAGAGAGGAATTTTAAAAGCCTCCCTGAGCTCCTCTTTTCCCTGGGCTGGGGGAGGGGCCTGTAAGCCTAGCTCCCCAGGCCAGAGGCCTCAAGCAAGGCCAGGCCTCCTGGGGGTCAGGCAGACCGGGCACTAGGTACCCACCTCAGAGGCCTCTAACCCGAATTTCCCCTTCTCTCCCCTGCCACCGCCCCCTCACCTACGCCCAGAACTTGAGTTTGAAGCAAGTTGGCAGCCAGCTCTGCCGAGTCTCTTGCTGGCAGTGCTTGGGGGAATTCAGAGAAGCTGACCAGCTTGGGGGGTGGGGGGCGAACACTTTCTCCCTACTAGGACCCTACCCAGGCTGGAGCCAGGTGTCTGGAGCTGGGGGTGGGGAGGGGCTGGTGGGCAGTCAGTCAGGCTGGAGCCTGCAGGTCTTGGGGGGGGGGTAAATTAGGGGGAGGGGAACTGGCTCCACCTGGGGAGGAGGGGAGGAGAAAGGCAATCTCAGGTTTAAGAACTCCAGCATTTCATTAAGGGAGGTGAAAGTGTAGCTTTTGGATATAGATAGGGATATTTGGAGATGCTCTGAGAGAAAGGAACAAAAAGACCAGAGCATAAAATTGAGTAGCAAGACAGAGATATTTGATTGAATTGATGATGATGATTTAACCTAAAGGATCAGGGAGGGACATTGTCTGTGGGCTTCGTTTTGGATTAGGGGTAGTGGGGCAAACTGAAACTGAGAAATGGAGACACTCAGTGGGGAGCAGAGTAAGAGAAAGGAAGACTTGTGTTGAGGGGCTCAGCACAAATATGACAAAGGGAAAGGGTCCCCTGGATCCTGATTACAGAATGGGCCTATAGGGCCTCAGGCTGAGGCCAATAGACATTTAAAGGAACAACTGGGAGTGTAAACTTGGGGAAGTCTTATAAGTAGAACAGAAAGATGACTGGGCTACGGAAATATTTAGAAGCCCATCCTTCGGCAAATACCTCGAGACTTATGAAAAGGGCTTTGGTACTTGAAAGATTCTGAGTGGATGCTATTTGGAGGATGATGAATAGATGATGGTGGTTGTGAAGATGGTGGAGAGAGATGTAAGAGATCAGATCAGTAAATATCAGGAGTTAAAGTTTTAGAATAGGCTGGGAAGGTGGCTCAGTGATAGAGTGCTTGCCCTGCATGCATGAGGCCCTGGGTTCGATTCCTCAGCACCACATAAGCAGAAAAGGCCGGAAGTGGTGCTGTGGCTCAAGTGGTAGAGTGCTAGCCTTGAGCTGAAGAGCTCAGGGACAATGCCCAGGCCCAGAGTTCAGGCCCACAACTGACAAAAAAAAAAGTTTTAGAATAATCTTTAGAGTCACATAAATAAGTAGAGGCTCAAAGTACTGCCTGTTTGTGTGTGTGTGTATGTGTGTGTGTATACATGTTCATGCATGCATGCCAGTGCCAGTATTAAGACGAACTCAGGACCTTAAGCTCTTCCTTGGCTTTTTTGCTCAAGGTGGGTGCTCAACTACATGAGCCACTCCTTCACTTCAGGCTTTTGGACTGGTCAATTGACTATAAAGAGTCTCTTGAGCTGGTGGCTCATGCCTGTAATCCTAGCTACTCAGGAGGCTGAGATCTGAGGATCATGGTTCAAAACCAGCCCAGGCAGGAAAGTCTGTGAGACTCTTATCTCCAATTAACCACCAGAAAATCAGAAGTGATGTTGTGGCTTAAGTGGTAGAGTGCTAGCCTTGAGCTGAAGAACTGAGGGACAGCACCCAGGTCCAGAGTTCAAGCCCCACAACTGACAACAACAACAACAAAAAAGTCTCTTGGACTTTTCTGCCCTGAGGTTGCCTTCAAACCACCACAGACCCAACCTCCTGAGTAGCTAAGATTGCAGACGTGAATTCACCAGTGCCTGTTCTGGCTTCTGAATGACCACCTGCTTTCTCTCACTCAGGTTCCGGGATGAGGACTACACAGTGCACCTGAGGTTGAATGACTACCTGGACATTATATGTCCACATTATGAGGATGACTCTTTGGCAGTTGCTGACATGGAGCAGTACACCCTCTACCTGGTGGAGCATCCCGAGTATGTGGCGTGCCAGCCTCAACCCAAGGACCCTGTCCGTTGGCAGTGCAACAAGCCTAATGCCAAGCATGGCCCGGAGAAGCTGACAGAGAAGATCCAGCGCTTCACACCTTTCATCCTGAGCAAGGAGTTCAAGGAAGGGCACAGCTACTACTACATCTGTGAGTGTACATGGGAGGGAGGCACGCAGGTACATGTACTCAGGGCGAGTGGCAGGATGTGTATGGCTGGGTATATGCTGAGTAGGGAGTCAGGTAACATGGGGTACCTTCTAATACTGAATTCTTTCATTCCCATCACAAGTGTCAAGCGAGTTTCTGCCATATACTTGGCATCCATTTGGCACTGTGGACATAAAGATAAATACAACACTTCAGACTCCCTATCCTCAAAGAAGCTGGGAAAGAGTACACATAGGCTAGAACAGTGCAATATGGTAGACATGAGTGCATGGGCCTTGGGGAAATGACCTGAGCACGTGCTAGGTTGGGAGGCAGAGAAAGGGCTGAGCTTAGAACAAGTGGAGGAACTAGGTAAGTAGGAAGGAATGTGAAGAAAGGGAGCATAACCTCTTCAAAGAATTCTTAAGCAGTAGGCACACAAGAAGTAGAGAGAGATGGGTTTGAAGAGCAGACAGACAGATCCTCGGGACCCAAACACTGCTAGGAATTTGGACTTTTATCTTTAGGGTAATAGAGAGCTACTGTTAGATCTTAAAGAGTTACAAGTCCAGCTTTGTATGGAATAGATCTAGGGCTCATTCAGTCACTTAGTATAAAATGGCCCAAGTATAGGGAAGACCCAATTTCAGGCTGGGAGAATAAAGACTGGGACACATGGAAGGGAAAAATGTCTGTCTGTGTGTGTGTGTGTGTGTGTGTGTGAAAAATGTCGGTGTGTGGGGGGGGTTGTTTTTGTTTTCTGTTAGTTGTGGGGCTTGAACTCTGGGTCTGGGCACTGCCCCTGAGCTCTTTAGCTCAAGGCAAGCACTCTACCACTTGAGTCACTGTGCCACTTCTGGTTTTCGGGTAGTTAGTTGGAGATAAGAGTCTCATAGACTTTCCTCCCCAGGCTGACTTTGAACTGTGATCCTCAAATCTCAGGCTCCTGAGTAACTAGGGTTACTGGTATGAGCCACCAGGGCCCAACTGGTACAATGTCTTTTTTTTTTTTCGTCATGAGGCTTGAATTCTGGGCCTGAACACTGTCCCTCAGCTCTTCAATTCAAGGCAAGTGGTTTATTGGAGATAAGAGTCTCAGGGACTGTCCTGCCTGGGCTGGCTTTGAACCACAATCCTCAGATCTCAGCCTCCTGAGTAGCTAGGATTACAGGTGTGAGCCACTGATGCCCAGCTGGGACAGTGTTTTATGTCTTCCTCACCTCTGCCAAAGTTGAGAGTTGTTCTAAAGAATGAGAGATTAGGGGACTGGGAAAGTGGCTCAATGGTAGAGTGCTTGCCTTGCATGCATGAAGCCCTGGGTTCAATTCCTCAGCACCACATATGCAGAAAAACCAGAAGTGGCCCTGTGGCTCCAGTGGTAGAGCGCTAGCCTTGAACTGAAGAGGTGAGGGACAGTGCCCAGGCTCAGAGTTCAAGCCCCACAACCAACAATATCAAAAAAAAAAAAAAAGAATGAGAGATTGTACTGAACATTGGGCAGGACATGTGGGGAAAAACAAAACAAAGAATGTAAGAATAGAGGCTAGA